GAATCGGAAACAGGCTCCAGGCTCCAAGCCGTCAGCGCAGAGCCCGACGCGGGGCTCGAACTCACGGACCGCGAGATCGTGACCTGGCTGAAGTCGGACGCTCAACCGACTGCGCCACCCAGGCGCCCCTAGGCATTCTGATTTCTACCTTTATTCTGGACCGATTCAGCTCTATCTGCTTGAGCTGAAGGCAAGGTGTGGGGAGGGTCTCCTTTTCGTTCAGAACCCGAGACGCCCTTCTCAACCACCTCACAGGCTCTGCCCTCAACCCCTTCTGCAGACGAGGTGACTGAGGGCCGGCAAGGAGAGTGACCGCTAATGAGAGGACTCAGGCCCCGGAGCCAGGCCGGGGCACACACAACACCGTGGTGTCCCTCTATCATACCAATACCGAAGAGTAGAGAGCTGTTTTGGGGTTTTTTTCCTCAAAAAAAAAAAATATATATATGTATATATTTTTTGTAATCTGAGGTTTTCCTCCACCACAGAAAGGAAACAAGTAAGATAGATGTATGCCCCAAGCTCTGCCCTGACTGTAGGGCTCTGTGCTCCAGAAGCTTACAGAACCCTGGGGTTGGGGCTCACACAGTGGTCATCCCTGGGGAGTCAACAGGTTGGGCTGATTTTTAAAAAACATTGACCATCTGGTCAAGGTTAAAGATGGCTCTATTTAGAGAAAGAAACACGAGTTTCTGGGATGGGCACTGTGGGTAGCTCACTCAGACTCCCTGCGATCCCTTTTAAGGTCCTGTCTCCCCTTCCCCCGCTTCCACGGTACCTGGGAACATCCCCTGAGGGCCACCCCGGGGCTTGTGAAACGCCTCACCAAAGAGCCAGGAGCATCTGAGAGTCTACCTCTCATCCGGAAGCAACTTACCCCCTAGAGGTCCCCACAGGTCCCTTTGGGACCTTTGGGATCAGGCTGAGACGGACTTTGTCCAAAACCGTCCCTACCTTGATTTGTTTCTCCTCCTTCTCGGTCTTCTTCCCAATCCCCTTAACCGTCTCCCCTAGGAGCGCCCCTGACCCATCCCCTAGCACAAACCCATGCCTCAGGGTTTACTTCTGGAAGGGACCCACCTCAGGTAGTTTCTTTCTTGCAGACCTTATCAGAGCGTTTGGCACGCTACAGAGAAGGATGATCTTCTAAGAGGGAGGAAAAGTAGCCAGTGTCTTGCAAACTCTTTCCACCCCAATTAACAAAAGCGGTGGGCTAATTTTAACCCCTTTTATTACAACCCCCTGCCTGAGCTGGTGTCTTCACTGGGCTCCCCGGAGGCTGCCTGAACTGGAACAGAGGTCCAAGAGATGGCTCAAGGGCCCACAGAAGTTCAGCGGGCTCTCCGGCACCCCACTAAATGGGCCCTGGGACTGTTGCCGAGGGCGGTGAAGGGCGGGGGGGGGGGGGGGGGGGGGGTAGGTGAATGTGACCAAAGAAGTCAGAAAGCCTCATTCCAAAGAATTGTAAAATTTATTGTATAAGTATTGCAGCTTTTCAGAAAGTCATCATTGCCACTAATGATTATTGATACACAAGAAGCGATTTCATCAGGCCTGTGGATTGGCATCCAAATACAGAGTCTCACGTGGCAGCAACGTGGGCGCCGCACCCAGCGTGCCACGGGGAATTTACACGAGTTTAACTTGAACAGAACTCGGGAAACAGGGCTGCAAAGGAGAGCGGCTTCAACGCCAACAACGCAACGTAAAAGCGTGCCATCGGCACACCGCCGTGGAATCGGGCAGGCAAATAGTACAGCAAAATTCGAAGCGCGGCTTCCAGGACAAACAAAACAGAACAAAACGACACTTGTAGTTTTCCTGATCGCTGGGATGTCCTATGGATCTGGAAGCTTTGTGGGCACGTAGGAAACAAGTTCGGAAACATACCATTCACAGCGGAGACAAGGACAGGGGACAGACTCGGTTCTGGCCCTGGCCTGGTGTTCACTAGACGTGGGGGGCGAGGGGCGTCTCAGCTCCTTGCAAAGAACACTTTGTGGGGGACACGGGTGGCTCTTAGGGCCCCTGCTAAGTCGGCCTGCGGAGACCCGGGCTTTGTTGGGGGCGGGCGGCCGGCGCAATGCTCTTCCTCGGGAGGAAATGCGGTTGAGAAGCAGAGAAACGAGAACAAGAGAAAGCCCCACCCGGTCCCCCTCCAACCAGCCACTGCCGAGGACCCCAAACTTGTTACTGGCAAAAGGGGGCCTCCCGAGGGGTGCTCAGAGCCTTTTCAGCGACAAGGGCATGGCGGCCGGCATCCGGAGGGAACGAGTGCACCCCCGGAGACCAAGAGCTTAGTGCTAGCAGTTTCCAGAAACACCCCCCCCCCGGTTTTCTCGGGATGCGCCCCGACTTCGCCCGGCCTCTCTGCCGGGAGCCTCTGCAAGGGGCCTGTGCTGGGCACGAAACCCCGGGGCCCTGCGGCCCAGCGGTCCCGGGATGTGATCCCGGAAACGCGCTCTGCCCTCAAGCCCGCTGAGGTCAGGAGCCCACCCTCCTGCTTCCTCCCACACAGACCACACCGCCAGGCAACAGGATCCACGCGGAGACCTGGGCCACGCCTGGGCCCGACGTTGCCCAGGCAAGCGAGGTCGGCGTCCGGGCTCACAACCCGCCCGGGAGTTGGTACAGGACTGGACCCAGTAGGTGACAAGAAGGAGGGGCAGGAAGGGGTCGCCTGGCTGGGCCAGGCGCTTCCACGGTGGAGGGCGGGCGGGACCGGGCACCGAGAGGGCTATGGGGGTGTTCGAGAAGCAGCCGCAGGCCTCGAGTGGAAAGGCCAGTCCCGTGGGGGGGGGGGGGCGACGGAGACACTGCCCAGGGATGCCCCCCAACCGGTGACGAGAGGACACTGCTTCCTCAGTAAGGCACTAGGGAGACTGACTCTTCACGGAAAGAAAAGATACAGCTTAAAAAATTTTTGTTTTGTTTTGTTGTTGTTGTTTTTTTAAATCTATAAACGTGTCCCTGTACCTTTTAGGACCAATGACACCGAGTTCTCAGCACGACTTGCGAAAAGCATCCTCTCTGAGAGGAGCGAAGTTTAGGCCGAGGACCCCACGGAGAGGCAGCTTTTTATTGTCAAAGTACAAGAACCTTCTGCCAGGCTGGTCAGCAGCGAACGCCCAGAGTCCGCGTTTATCTGTTGGTCACCACGCTCTTAAAATGTGTATATAAATAGAGTTCAAATGGTCAGAACTTCAAAACTGTTCTCAGGTGTTTAAGTAATAAAAAAGTTGCTTAGAAACAAGTTATTGCCCATATGCCTTCTCTCGCGTTAGTCTGACAGTTAGCATTCTTCCAGAAGGAAAAGACAGCTCGGGGAGGAAGGGACCGGGGTGCGCGGGGGGGGGGGGGGGGCGCCCCCGGGAATGTAAACCAGGAGACCCCAGGGGGCGCCCCCCCCCCCCCCGCTGGCCGGCCTGCCACTGTCACACACGTGTGCCCACTCACACGCCCTCGCCTGCACAGGCCACCAAGGGATCCCGCCAACCCGAAATCGACTCGGCAAAATCCTGGCAAACGACACTCGTATCTGATACAGACGCTGGGAAAACACAGACACACGAACATGCCGAACACGACTGTTTCCACGGGGAGAGGAATGGACGTGTGGGAGAGGAGGTAAAGAATTCAATTCTGATTTGAAAACATAAAGCACAGGTTTACGCCGGTTTCCCCGTTGTCGGTGCTGTTTCTCTTCGCGTTAACCCGCTGTCGTGTCCTGGGAGACACCTGCGCGTGTCACTTTTTCTCTCTGGTGTCCCGTTTGTTGGCCTGTTCGGTGAGAACTGCTACGTAAAGAGAAAGCCAGGGATGAGGTCGAACTCCTCGGGGGCCTTTCCAATCTGCCGGTGGCCTCCGCCAACCTCAGCGGAGAAGTCCTGGACCCGCCGGATCGTCCGCACGGAAAGCAGCCACCCCAACCTCTCCGGCGGGTCCCGGCAACGTGCTCCGGGGGCGGCAGCGGCAGCGGCGGCAAAGGGGGGCGCCTCAGCCCCTTCCTGGGGGGAGGGGGAGGGGGCTCATGCTTAAAAAACGGGAGGAAAAACTTAAGATCCTTCAGGAACAGTTTATTTTCATCTGGGGCAAGGCAAAGCCACCACCCTGGCACCGGGTGACCGATTTCCCCATCTCGTCTGCCATCCAAAGGCTGTGCCGGCCCAGAGGGGGAAATGCGTCTCCTCCGGTGGGGAATGTATCAGGCGGTAACAACCGATCGCTAGACAGAAGCTTCCACTTACGCAGGAAGAGCGCCCCCTCCGGAAGCCTCCCCCAACTCCGTGCAGAGCCCGCCCTCTGCCAGACGGCCGCTGCCAAACTCCGCCGCTTCTCCCTTAAAAGTCTCGACAGACACGATAGAAGTTTCCATCAAACAAGCACTGACATAGTTATATTAAAAAATAGTGCAAAAGCTCAACATTTATATAAATAACTCTAAACCCCTGCTTTGTAGTTTTTTTTTTTTTCTTCTTCTTCTTCTTCTTTACAAGGTAATACACGCTTTCTGACCTGGCACTCAAAAATTGCCTTTTTCTCTTCTAGTTCAGAAAACAACTTTTTTTTTTTTAATAGGCCTCTTCTAATACAAAAATACTCCTGCCCTCACAATACTTCTCTTATTTTATATATATTTATATATATAATATTGCAGATCTTTAAACAAAGGTTTTGTGCAAATAGGTCTTTAAAGTTAAGTGAAATCATCATAAACAAACGAAAGGAAATAAGCATTCACGCACGCAGCTCAACTAGGAACAGAAAAGACTAGGGTAGGTTTTTTTTTTTTTTCTTTTTTCTCTTTTGCCTTCAAGACACAGCTCGACAAAGAAACGTGGTTTTTTTTTTTGTTTGTTTGTTTGTTTTGTTTTGTTTTTGCAAGCTTTCTTAGCTTGTGCATTCAGACCAGACAGAACATGTAAATATTTATACACAGAGAGAGTGGGTGCCGCCAGGTCCTCCTCTGTCTTCTGGTTTCGGAAGTGCGGAGTGTTTTGCCCGGCCCCGGCCCCGGCATTCCTAGAGAGGGTGTCCTTTCTGTTTATCTTTCTCTTTGCTCCAGGCGGGTGAGCTCTCCAGGGGGGCGAGGTGTGCGTGGGGGAGCCGGGTCCCCTCCAGCAAGGAGGGTGGCCCGCTGCTCTGCTGGTGCTGGAACGAGGGGGACCCGGGGTAGTGCCCGATGACCTCGCTGTAGGTGGGGGGCGGCCCCTCCATGCGCCCGCCGCCCCCGTAGCACGTGGCGCTGATGCCCGAGTTACTGCTGGGGGGGCAGGGGCCGCCCAACATGGCACTGTCCATCAGGTCGCTGTCGAAGATGGTTCTGTTCGGGGGCGCGCGCACGGACTCCCGGTTCAGCTCCAGCTGCTGCTCGGGGTCTCGCAGCTGGAGGGTGCAGGGGCCCTGGTAGGGCGGGGGCTCCTCCCCGTCCGACAGCGAGATGGTGGGCGGCAGGTCGATCTCGTGCTGCAGGTACGGGTAGGTGGGCTGGAAGCGGAGGCAGCGGTCCCGCTGGGTGAAGGGGGGCACGGCCAGGCGGTCGGTGGGCCTCGGAGGAGCATAGACCTGCGGCTGGAGGGAGCGGGGGGGGGGGGGGGGGGGGGGGGGGGGGCCGGGGCCCGCCCCCGAAGCAGCACCCCAGGGCTGAAATCGGGGCAACTTTTGTCCGCGCGTGTTGCAGATGCTGTGGGCCACTCCCCGCGGGTAGAGCGTTACGTCCCGGCTTGGGTGATCCCAGCAGCCGCGGACGACGACTCTTTGGAAAAGGGCAGAGGTGTGGGCCAGCAGCCACGCCGTTCGGGCCAAGGGAGGCGCCCCTGGCTTGGAAAGGGGGACCTGCTGGGAGGATGGCCTTCAGGCGTCCACAACAGCAGCCTTGGGGGACAGGCGGGGGGGGGGCGGGGGGGGGTGGGAGGCAGCACAGGGTCTCACCTCTGGGATTCCGTTGCCCGACACGGTGCTCTCCGAGGGCCAGAGGCATCCTTCCTGTGCGGGGAGGAGAGGGGCGGGGTCAGCAGGATGAACAGAGGGGAGAGAGCAAAGGGGCCGACTGGCTTTGACCCTGCGATCTTGCATGTGCCATCAGATGCAGCACCCGGCCACGGCTCCCCATCCGCACCCTGGGCCCTGGGCGGTTCTGGCAGCAGCCCAACGGCCTTCGGCGACCACGTGAAGCGGCGAGGTCGCATGTCCGCTTGCACCCTAACACCTGGAACATACTAGAGACTCCAATGAGGCTGCGCGGGCTGAAGGCTTTCCGGGTGGGACAGTTTTGAGAGCCGTAGAGCCCCCTCGTGGCCACGTGGGTAACTGCAAGCCTCGCGGCCACCCGCCTTCCCCCGGCTGTCCCCCGAAAATTCACCCTCCACGCTCACGTTTTCCAAAACCTACATCTAATTGGCGGGCCCCTCCTTCTCAGAACTCTCCAGCAGCTTTTCCCAGGCACCTTAGCACGAACCCAAGTTCTCTTGTGAAATGGCTGGTAAGGAAGCGGGCCTCATCCAGCCCTCCTGGCCTCGACCACCACTTGCTTGCAGGGTGACCTCGGCAAGTTACTTAACTTCTGGAACTTTCCATGGGTGGAATATGCTTGGAGTGCCTGTGGCCCTGAGTGAGTATATGGAAGTGCTGGGGGCCACGCCCACCCACCATCTAGCGCAAAGCGCATGCACCCACGGGCCTTGGCACTGGCCACCCCACTGCGTGGTCAGGTCTGCAGACTTTCTCGAACACCCCTGTCTCAAGAGCTCAGAGCCCGGGGCCTGCTTCCGATTCCGTGTCTCCCTCTCTCTCTGCCCCTCCATTGCTTGCACTCACGGAGCTGCTCTGTCACCAAATCGTGATCCGGTCGGTCAGCAACGGTGGAACGAGGCACCGCCTCTTGCCAAAGGGGTAAGTGCCACCTCACGAAGCCCGCAGCCTCTGCACACGGGCCTGTGGCCGCCCCCCCCGACCCGTGGACAGGCTGCACGGGAGTGGGGGACAGCTGGCCACGTGCGGTTTCAGGTCTGGGGGAGAGACCCAAGGGTCAGTCAGGGAAGGGGGACCCCATACCGGGAGGCAAACCCAGCCAATGCTGGTCACATGATGCTAGACAGCCCTGAGCCTGGGGGCAGGGGGAGGGATGTCTTGTTAGAATTTTACAGCTTTCTGTAGGCGTAACAGATAATATTAACTGCGCATATCCAGGGTATACAATTTGGTTAAGTTTTGGCATGTGTATATACCAGAGACCCATCACTACCATCGAAATAACATTATCACCCCAAAAGTTTCCTTGGGGGCACGTTTTCCCGAGGGGTCCCACCTAAGACATTCTCACCCACCGGCCGGGGCTGGAGCAGGAATTGGAGCGGGCGCGTAGGCCGAGGCTTGCAGTTACCGACATGGCCACTAGGGGGCTCTATGGCTCTCAAAACCGTCCCACCAGGAAAGCACTCAGCCCGCACACAGACTCATTGGAGTCTCTCTCTAGTATGTTCCAGGTGTTAGGATGCAAGCAGACACACGACCTTGCCCCTTCATGTGGTCACCGAAGGCCGTTTTGTTACTGATATCAGTAACGTATCAGTCACTGCCTTGGTGGCAGAAACTGCACTTAGCACTCTCCTGGGCACCTGGGCGGCTCGGTCAGTTAAGCATCCGACTCAATTTTGGCTCCGATCCTGACCTCACAGTTCGTGAGTTTGAGCCCGGCATCAAACTGTCAGTGCGGAGCCTGCTTGGGATTCTGTCTCCCTATCTCTCTGCCTGCAACCCCCGCCCGCCCCCCCCCCCCCCGTCTCTCAAAAATAAATAAATAAAGCACTATCTATCTCATTTCTCCCGACAAACCTACAAGGCAGGCTGAGGTCGGCTAGCCAGGCTGAGTAGGCCTAGCTGGTGAAAGGCAGTGCTAGGATCCAAACCCTGACCTACCTGCCTCCAGAGCCACCCGGGCTCAGGCTGGTCCTGGCAGGCTCCGCAGCCCCCCGTCGGGCCACTGGCACAGTCCATATGTGCCAGGAAGCAGATGGGGACATCTACCTGCTCCTCGGTAGGGTCAGGAGTCCCGGGGCGTGATGCACGCAGCCAAGGATGAAATGTGACCCAGATAAACTCCTGCCTAAAACCCTCCTACGAGTCCCTCTGTCCCAGGCTCTGCATGACGTGGCCGCCCAGGACCTCTGCCCACCACTCCCCCGACTCCCAGCCCTAGCACAGGGAGTATCTACCCGGCTGCACGGTGGCACCACCCAGGAAGCTTAAGACAACACCTGTCGCTGCCCCAGGAGCCCCACCACAGACTCCCAAATCACCCACCAGCCTCATCACCTGACTGCCTCCAGCTTGTGCACCTCAGAGTCATTTCCTCCTCCAGGGAGCCTCCCAGGAACCACCCACCACCCCCCTCCCCCCGCTCCACTGCCTCCCTGGCTCCCATAGCAACTCAGCCCCTCTAGCAGCCTGGCCCATTTGTATAGTGATCGAATGTCCAGCTGGCTGCACTGGCCCCGATCAGAAGCCTTGTGCCCACAGAAGCCATGTGGGAGGCAGGAGACCCACGCCAGGGCTGATCTGGGGACAAAGAGAACAAAGGGTTGCCCCATCCAAAGCCCTGGCTGAGCCCTAGTCTGAATGCATCCCTGCCCCACGCTGAGCGGGCCCCGTGCACAAACCGTCTTCCGGGGGTGGGGGCTACGGGTGAAGTGACCATCGCTGCTCAAGTTACATAAACTTTGCGGGAACAATGAAGGCCGCCAAGGAGAGGAATTCAGAGCGGGGAATGTTTGTCCAAAGTGGTGTCTGAAAGCAAAGTTCAGAGACCCGGGAGCAGCTCAGAGATGAAAACAGGACGCTTCCTGGGTGGGGCCTGGCTGCACCTGTCCACCTGCTCAAAGGCGCCCGGGTGGGACGGTACCTGCCTTCACAGGTAACATTCCCCTCACCTGCCAACCCCAGCGCAAGACCCTTCAGACCCGCAGTCGGTGCCACCGTGGTGGCTGGATCATCACTGTTGTTACCATTATGCGCTAGACCCTGGCTTGCCTGGGAGCAGCACCAGACAACGAAGTGACATTCTGGGGCCACAGGCTTACCTAAATGTGGGCCTCATTCAAGCCAATGAAACGGGCTCACCCTGAAAAGGGCCCGAGGCAGGACAGCCATGCCAGGGGCAGGGCCAGCCCCAGGCTGACAGTGGCCGGGTTTGGGCCCCTGTGGGAGGTCACGGGGCCCTGAGACTCCTCTGACTCGCCCTGTCTGGCGGGGGGTCCCCAAGGGAGCCGCCACACTCAGTTCAGGCCTAACGAAGCTCTGTGTTTACCCTGCCAGGCAGCCCCAGGGGTCCATACAGGTGGCTGGGTAGATGGGGGTGGCGACTCTCCTTTGGCTTCGGGTGTCCAGGAACCGGGGCCCGAATCTTTACCTGTCTGGGCACAAAGTCCCAGGTGCTACCCACAGGGCGGTCTCCCCGCCCCCGGTGGCAGCAGGGATCCCTCCCACCGGAACCTGTGCCATTTCTCCAGCTCTCTGGGCAAACGTCATCCTCCCCGCGACTGTACCTATGGGGCAGGCTGCAGAAAGGCTAGCTCCACCCGTCTGAGGGAGACTGAGGCTCAGAGGGGCCCAGGTGGCCCACCCTGGGCACCCCCAACCCCCCCCCGGCTAGTGCCTTCTCGTTTGTTCCAAGTGCCCTCCCTTGCCCCAGCATCCGAGGGAGGACAAACGGGCCCGGGCTCTTCAAACTGCCACTTACAGGCTGAGAGGCTTCAGGCAAATGCTCCCACCTCTGCGGGCCCCAGGTTCCCCCCCACGGAGTGGGGTTTCCAGGCTGCCGCGGGCGGGAAAGCACCGGGCACAGGGGAGGCAGGTGCGTGCTCGCCACGGTGCAGCTGGCAACGCCGTCACTTGGGCAACAGTCACAGCAAACAGACACAGGTGAGCCCGGGCCTTAGCCGCAGAGGATTCCTTCAGAGCAGCAGCCCGGGTGCCCCCCCCCCCCCCGGACACGCCGAGCCTCACGTCTGGGGCGCGCAGTGTTCCCGTCAGAGGGACCAAGGGGGTGGATCTCCTTGCCCTGGCTACCTGTGGACGTGCTGCGGCGGCAGCCGGATGCAGGAGGAGATGCCTGACCCTGCCGGGGACAGGCCTGCCAGCCACCCCTGGCTCAGCCCCACCGCCAACCGCAGGCGCCCCCCAGAACCGGGAGGCCGGGTTGTTCCATGGCTGTCCTCACGGGCTCAGAGACGTGCTCGGGCGCGTAGCCCCGGGCCACCCACGTGCCACCTTCTCCCTGCAAATCCCAGCCTGTCCATCAGGCCTGGCCGCCCGCTCCTGCCCAGGTTGTGAAATCACACATCGCACGCACGGGGACAGACATACTTGGGGATGAACCCGGCAGCCCCTGCGGCCCGCCTGCTTAAGAGCGGCCAGCGGGCAGGGCACAGTTGAGCCCCGCAGGTGCAGGGGGCCAGGCGGCCCTGGACGCTCCGAGCCGCAGAAGGGCCAAGTTCCGGGCCCGCAGGGCCCCCCCATGTCGTGGAGTCGAAGGGATACTGGTGGGGCTTCCAGAATGCCCCGGGACGCTCGTAATCCTAACGTCACGTCAAAACGCCGTATTCTGTGAACGGCCGGGACCCCTCCAGAGCAGCCTTCCAGGACCATCGTCACTCTCCTCCTTCAGAGCTCGGCCTAAGAGGCTCGTCCTGACTCTCCTGGCCAAACACACCACGCTGGGATCCTCGGGGACAGTCACTCTGGCTTCCTTCCGAGCGCCCCTCAGCATCATCTGATTTAGGTGTCCCTGTCTGTGTGGATCCAGCCACCGGGCAGCAACCACAGGGGGCCTGTCCACAGCCATTCCCTCCCCCGCCCCCCCCCCAGTGTGTGGGGGGGTCTAGACCCTCTGCTCCGTAGGCGTCTGTGCAGTGAATGCATGAATGGGTGGGTGGGTGATGGAGTGGACGGGAGTGTCTGGGCCGTCCTGGCCAGCGGCGCCCCAGCCGTGATTCGGCGCTGAGCCCCGACTCCTCTGCGGAGCGGCGTGAGCCCCGCTCACGGTAAACGGCAGCCCCATTTCAGCAATCGGGACTGGTCCGAGGGCGCACGGCCAGGACCAGTGGAGCTGGGAAGGCCCTTTCCAGGGTGACCTGTTGTCCCCAAGACACGGAGCCCCCAGCCCAGACGCCTGCAGTGTATAGAAGAGAGGGAAGGGCCGCCTCCCTTCCGTCTGGGCTAAGGCGGCAGGACCGCGGGCGCCTCCCCCACCAGCCCGTCCCGTCCGGCCTCGGCCTGTACCCCGAACACCCTCCTCCATCGCCTGCCCAGCAGTGTCCCCTGTGGCCGCCGACTGCCTCCCTCCCGTTCCTGTGAGCGCACCCCGAGGCGGGACGCCAGACGCTTACCGAGGAGAGGGCGTCTTCTCTCCTCCTGCCCTGGCCGTGCCGGCCGATGAAGGAGCGCGCGGACAGCTTGTAGTGGCTCAGCAGGCACGTGATCACCACCACCATCACCATCACCACCACCACGATGATGGTGATCTCAACGAACTCCAGTTCTGCTGCAGGACCAAGGGAGACACGTGAGCCCACGGGGACCCCAACGCTGGCCCAGCCTTTCCGAGGGGACCCCGACGCCGGCCTGGGGTTCAGGACCAAGCCCTTCCGAGGGGACGCCGATGCCGGCCCGGGGCTGGATCCCCTTCTGGGGGGAGCCTTATGCCAGCCCAACCCTTCCGAGGGGACCCCTATGCCGGCCTGGGGCTCGGGGCCCAACCCTTCCAAGGGGACCCCGATGCAGGCCCGGGGCTGGGGATCCAGCCCTTCCAAGGGGACCCTGACGCCGGCCTGGGGCTCAGGGCCAAGCCCTTCCAAGGGGACCCCGACGCCGGCCCGGGGCTGGATCCCCTTCTGGGGGGAGCCTTATGCCAGCCCAACCCTTCCGAGGGGACCGCGATGCAGGCCAGGGGCTGGGGATCCAGCCCTTCTGAGGGGACCCCGACGCAGGCTCAGCCCTTCCGAGGGGACCCCAGCACAGGCCCAGGGCTGGGGATCCAGCCCTTCCGAGGGGACCCCGACGCAGGCCCAGCCCTTCCGAGGGGACCCCGACGCCGGCCCAGCCCTTCTGAGGGGACCCCGACGCTGGCCCGGGGCTGGATCCCCTTCTGGGGGGACCCTTATGCCGGCCCAACCCTTCCGAGGGGACCCCGATGCAGGCCCAGGGCTGGGGGTCCAGCCTTTCTGAGGGGACCCCTATGCCGGCCCAACCCTTCCGAGGGGACCCCGACGCTAGCCTGGGGCTCGGGACCCAGCCCTTCTGAGCATTCGCTCACCTCCCTGCAACACCCCAACACTCACACACACACACACACACACACCCTCCCCACTGCACACTCACGCGCACACATACGCACGTGCACACACACAGGCACGTCTATCACAAGCACACCCCACCCGGGACGGGACAGGAATGTGTGAGAAGACCCGCCCCCCGGCCCCCCAGCTCCCGGGAAAGAGGCCTCAGAAAAACCACATTCAGTGTTCCTTTTCTCTCTCTCTCTCTCTCTTTTCTTTCGGGTGTTGTTTTGTTTTTCCCCTCGAAGGCGGAAAAACCCTCAAGTACTGGAAAAGGAAGGAGGTTATTTTGATCCTGCCAGAGCCGGGGCGGTTTCTGCTGACTCGAGCGGGTCCGAGTCGAGGCGGCTCGGCAGCTGGCCGTGCTGGGTGCAAGCAGAGCCCCCAGCGACGGGCGGGACGCCAGCGCCGGTCGAGCCGGGGACCCGGGTGGTGACACGGCAGGCGACGGACAGCTCGGGGGGGCCCAGCTGGGCCGGCCTCCTCCAGCCCACGGCCGCCCACCGGGGGGCAGAGCACCCCGACGCCCGGCGCTAACAAGCGATTCGCTGAGGGCTCCCCAGGGCACAGTTGTTCAAGCTCAGGGCCACTGACTCAGCCCTCCCACCTCCGAGACAAACTGACGCTGGAGGCGTGGGGGCGGGTGGCAGGTGGGAAGCGGGAAGCAACAGGCAGCAGGAGGTGCGCCGGGTCAAGGGCTCTGGGCCCACCCAGACTCCAGCCCTGCGGAGGCCACTCCTTCCTGCCTCAGTTTCCCTGCGGCTTCCAGCAGGAAAGCGATGCGTCCTAGGTGGGAACGTTACCGTTTGCAGAACGCTGGGTGCTTCTCCACACAGAACCCCAGCCCCCAACACCCTCTCCAAAGCCCTGGCCACCCCCTTCCTCCCACGCAGGCTCTCCAGCACACCCCCCCTTCTCATGCTGCCTTACAGGGGTGCTCAGCTGCACCTACGATGCCTGCTGCTGTTATCAAGTCGAGGGAGCCTGCCCACCAGGGGACATGTGACACTTTCTGGGCACATCAGTGGCTGTCACAATTGGGTGGGGGCCCCCTACATTGCATGCGGATGCCCCTCGACAAGGAAGGACGGGTCCACGCTTGGGCCGTGGCTCTGGTTCCCAGGCAGGGCTGCGTCCCATCGTGCCCTGGAGGGCCCAGCAGGGAGGACGAGCTGGCCAGGGACTTCAGGGAGACTGTCCCGAGTGCCCAGAAGGCTGGGGCCCTGCCCGGCAGATTAGGCAAGCCTGGAACCGGCGGAGGGTCACCCTCACTTTCCTGCTGGGATCCAGTAACGGTGGCCACACCTCCTGCCTCCCCAGACAGGCTGGTCTGGCCTCGGCAGCCTGTTCTGACTCCCTAAGGGCAGGGTCCTGTCTATGAGGGCCCAGGATAAAGCCGCCCATTCAGGGAACATACAGGCTTGCTTTGTGCAACCCCCACGCCCTCCTTCCTCAGAGGGGCCTACAATTCCCCTCCCCCAGCCCGGTGCACTCTTCACCCTCGCTGGGACCACGGCGGTGGGTTCCCCTCTGCCCCCTCCCCCTGCCGTCTCCAGGGGCCCTGCCCACGCTGGCCCAAAGGAAGGGACGCGTGCCTCCGGTCTGCCTTTGTCCCAGGCCCTGGCCCTCCTCCTGGCGTTTTCCAGGCCCCAGAACGTTAAGGTGAGACAGCTTCTGAGGCAGGGTGGCCAGGGGACAGTGCATGAAGAGCTGGCAGGCCTGTGGGCGTGAACAAGCCCTCCACAGCTCTCCTGACCCTGCCAGGCTGGGCCAAAAGGGCAGGAGAACATAGTTCTGGAGGCTGGGGTCCAGAGTGAGACAATCAGCCCCAGAAATGAGCACGTGAGCACCCCAGGCCTTTGCTGTCTCCCTGGGCCGCGACCCAAGTACGGCAGGGACCCCGGAAATCCACACGGGTGAGGAGAGGGAAATACTCTCAGAAAAAAGAGAACCCGTGACTGATTACATTCTGGAAGCCAAAGGCCTGGGTCTAGGCTCAGAAGAGGAGAGAGACTCTTAAGGGCTCCTAAGCTCTGTTACAGGTCCGTCAGGGTCCCTAGGCCCCAGTGCGACCCTGGGCCTCACCTAGGAGTCCATCCCAGCCCCCCCCCACCCCCGACGTAAAAGGAGGCTAAGGGCACCTGGGGGCAGCACTGTGCACGGACAATGTGCTCAGCACTCGGGGAGCCGCTCCCTCAGGATTAACGGGGGGGCTCCCCACCGCCTCGGTAGAGCGAAACAAGGTGTGCCCACAAGGTGGCAAAGAGAAGGTTAAGCAGGGCCGCGCTGGATATTCCAGGCCAGGCCCAGGCCCGGCGGCACGAGCGGGTGGGGGCACTCGGGTCCAGAAGAGGACCCGGCCGGCAGCTGGTTCGCACCAACCCCTAAGGCAGAGCACCAACCGCTGGGCTGAGTGCTCTGGCCTCGGCAGTCCACACGCTTCCACTCGGGGGCCTCCTTCCCGGAGGCACCGCCTTCAGGGGACAGAGCCCGCTTCTCCAGGAAACGCACCAGGACAGCACCTGCTGGAGAGGCGGCAAACTGGAGACCACGTGCATCAACAGCCTCCCCCTCCCCCCTCCCGGCAAAGGAACAGCTGCGCCCTCTGCTTGGCCCCAAGCACCGCTCTGGGTGACATCACCTGCCGGGCCCCGGGGCTCGGGGGGGGGGGTGGCCTGGGCTCCGGCACCCCGACTTCCCTCTTCCGCGCGCAGGCAGGCATGGTGACTGGAGCGTGGGCCCGCTCCCCCTAGCCGGGCACTACTCCTTGGAACCCCAGCCGCCCCAGAGGCCGGCGCCCGGGGCAGGCCGGCCCAGTGCGGTCACACCTCTGCTCTCCCCAGAACCCAGAACCCATCTGTGAAGCTGCCCGGCCTTCGGCTGGCAGCACATTCAAGAGGCTTGGATTTCCAGCCCCGAGAGAAGCCCAAGTCACCGACCTGCCACGGATGTCGGGGACGGGGCCACAGCGATCCTGCCTCGTTTCCTCAATCTGACAGCCCTCCCCTTCAGCGGGGCCGCAGGCCAAGTGCCCAGTGTGGTGCACGCAGGGGCGGGTCCTACCCCTGCCCACCCCCTTCCCTGGCTTTCAAGTCTCCCGTGACCACAGGACCCACAGCCAGAGGCTGCTCACCGACAAGGGCGGACGGACCGGAGCGGGAGGAGTGGGCGGGTCGGTCGATAGCCCCGGGTCACCATGGTCACTGCAGCCGTTATATTTATCATGACCCCAACAGCTGCAACATCCACAAGGAGCCCACCTCCCCTAGGTCTGTGAGGCGGGAGCCATCGCCACCGGCACTTTGCAGATGGGGACGCTGAGGCCCGGGGTGAAGGTGCCTCCTTCAGAAAGAGCAGGGCTGGGTCTGCAACCCAGAGCCTCCCTGAGAGTCCTGTTCTAAGAAGTTCTTTGCAGCTTTCCCGAAGTACTCCTTAGTTTCCCCTCCCCACACCCGGAGCACCTGGTCCTGCCTCCCTGTATCTGCCAGCTACACGCTGTGGGACCCCGGCCACGCAGGCCTCTGTGGAGTCCCCGTTACGACCCAGCATGGGGGAGATGACGCAAGAAATGTAAGAGCTCAGCGGACTCCGCCGTCCCCACGTCCCAGTTCCTGACACCCTCACTCAGGCTGATGCCCTAGAAACGCCGAGGTGCGCCTGGCTGGGGGGTGCCCCAGGGTTGGGGGTTGGGAGCAAGGTCGATCCGAATTGCTCACCCCGGCTGGCACCTGGATGCAAGGCCATGAGGGACGTACAGACACTCGTCCCGCTTCTGCGCCGAGGGCACAGCTCCAACAGGAGCCTTTGGGAGAGAAACACGTTTCCCTATCTCGTTCCGGGCGTCAGGTCCGCTCACCGTGGGGAGGGCGGGGGAGCGGCTGTGCCATTTCTCTCCCTAATTTCCCCCTTGGGGTGGGTGATGGATGCCGTAGGCTCTCGGGGGTGGCCAAGCCCATCTTCGGCATGCAAAGTAAGGTCACTCTAATTTAATTTAGCGTCTTCTTTCCTGGTGAATAATTTCAAATTAACAGGCTCGTCTGCCTCATCGGAGCGGCCTGACCCTCCCTTTTGTCTTCTCCTCCAGAGACAGACACAGTCACTTTGAGATGTGTGCACGCCCATCTCTGGTCCTTTCCCAGCTGGCCCGACAGTAGAGAGAGGTGGCGTGTGCCCAGGGCCCCCCAAAATGCCAGGCACGGCCCACACGCTCAGAAGCATCGCCTTACCGAATCCTCACCGTCCTTCTGTGCAGCAGATACGAACATGCCCACCACCCCCTGCACCTGCTCTACGGACGAGGAAGAGGAGGCTGACGGAGGGGATGGCTTGCCAAAGACCACACCACCCACAGACCCAGGACCGTTCCTTCCTCCCAGCCGTGCGGTCCATGCAGCCGGTATTCGTGGTGGGTGGCACCCGCCTCCCACCTACGGTGGAGGAAAATCACAAGACGGTCAGGAAGGTCATCCCAGGCACTCCGGGGGAGCTCTGGGCACCTCTCAGGGCACTGCGGAGAGATAGGAACGGTGACCGTCCCTCTGCTGTGGAGCACGGAGGGCCAGCCAGGACAGGACCTCCCTCTCTGAATTCCCACAACAGCCCTGGGGGTGCAGCATGGGCCCAGAGAGCAGTCCGGAATCCAGGCCAACCCCGATTCCCTTCTTCCCTGCGGTGGGGCCCTGGCAACCCAGGGAAGCCAGGAAGGACGCTCTCTCTCTCTCTCTCTGTCTCTCGGAATACGGCTTTTAAATGAAAATTAAATAAAACCGTGGCTTAAAAAGGAAGCCAACTACATTAAGGCAGTTATCAAACTCTCAACCAGATGCGTGATATGGAAAGAACACCCAGAATTATTTTTGTGACGCAGGGATAGTATCGCATTAAACAGGACCTGGCAGGTTTTCGACGTGATGCGAAATCCGTGGTTTCCACTGGTGACCACGCGGCAGGTGCTGCTGACGGCTCCGTGGTTTGGAGCCCGTGTTCCTGATCGGGTGGGTGAAGGTGAAGATGCACCGAGTTCACGGCCCCCTGTTCTTGGGGACAGAGCCTCGATCGGAACCAAGCTCAGGAGCCCGGGTTCCAACCCCCGTTCAGCCGGTTCCCAGCTGTCAATGGGGGTGCGGGCCGGTGCAGAACTGTGCTAATACGCGCTATTCGCTATACGCGGGTATATACGTGTTCAGTAGAACGACGCACCTCCCCGGTGCAGGTAAGCGAGGGTGACCGTCACCACCCGTTCGGTTAATCACCGGGGTTGGCCGTTGCTCATTCTGTCTTTCCTGGGCTGGAGTCCACCCGGCTCCCGCCAGCCCACAGGAGGTTTCCAGACCAGACGACCCCCCATGGCCAACCCCCGCCCCCCCCCCTTGTGTCTGCTCCCAGCGGAGGGGGCAGCTGGTTTGCTTCCTGGTTAACAAGCAGCCCGTGCAGGCGGCCCTGTCTGGCCTCCCGGCCGCACACCAAGGAATTAGGAATTGGCCCTGTCTGAAATTTATGAAAATCTAATCTTGTTAGACCTGCCTGGATGAGACCCACTGGGGCGGGCTTCATTGTCATTCAGCGGAGCCCCAGCCTGCCTGGGGTTCCAGCCACTTCATTACTGCCCCCCCCACCCCCTCCCTGCATTTGAATAAGAACCCGGCTCCCTCCCCACCTAGAATGTCAAATAGAATTGAACCAGACGTCAAAGGAATAACTTTCTGATCACTCCTGGTGCCATTTCAAACACCCCCCAACGGCACATTTATTTCTTAGGGCAAGACCATTTATAGGGGGAGGGGGGAATGAATCTGTCTTTCTTTTGAGGCTTGAGAGGTGGGCAGCAAATCTAGGCCAGTATTCTCATTTTTAAAAACAGACCGAACCGCTTACCAAGCGCTCACTCAGTGCCAAGCACACAGCTGGGCGACTGGCACCCGTCACCTGAACACGTAGCCCTGAGATACTGTCTGGCGTTGTCTGGGTAGCCTCAAGGAAGAAGCCACAGGCTGGCTGGCGAGGGGGCAGGGACTGAGGCTCTCCGCACCGCTGGTCACAGTAAGATCCCAGGGTACAGGTTAAGGACACGTTTGGCCCCAAGGCTCCCTTCGAATCGTGGCTTTGCCGCTTACCACGACCCTGGCCAGGCAAATGACTCCGTGTCCGCATCTAGGGAAAAAAAGAGGGGTAACCGCACCCCTCTTCACACGGTTGTGGCTACGAGCCGCACCGGCTAACTTGGAGCCAACATTTCCAGGAGGGAAGCCCTGGAACCAAGGCTTACGGGCTCTGGACGTTGCCTGCCCGCCCTCCTCACACAGACCTGGGCTGGGGCTGTCCGAATCCGCAGCAGCTGGCCACGGCTTCCCTCAGCAGGTCCCCACTGCCAGCACTGTAGCTCACGGACGGGATACATCGGGAGCGCTTCTGGACAGCGAAACTAACAAGCTCTCAAAACACGCAAGTATGCCCGCTTGACCATGCAAATCAATTTCTGGGCCTTTCTCTCCACATGTTCTTTCTCCTGGGACTCTCTCCCACTCGCCCACAGTGCTCTAACCACGTGTTCCGTAAAAGGGCCAAGCACAAGCCCCACCTCAGGGCCTTTGCACATGCCCTTATTTCTGCCTGGAATGATCGTCCCCCAAGTACACGTGCTTACTCCCTTCCTTCCGGTCTCTGTGGCAATGCCCCTTCCTCAAGAAGCATCCCCGAGCACCGTGCCTGGAACAGGGCTCTGCCCCAAGCCCGAGGACCCTATGCCCCGTGCCGGCTTTCCTCTTCACTGAAGCACTACTCCGGAGTGCTAACGTGACCTGTCTAACCATTTATTCCTTGCCTCTCCCTACTAGAATGCCCGTGTCACCAAAGGTGACTTTTTGCTTATTGTGCGTCCCCCGCACCTGGACCAGCACCTTCCCCTGACAGCACACGCATGAAGCATGCTGCATAAATGGCCACATTTCTTTTCGCGTGTGCCGATGAGGGTCCAGAGGGGGCACTGCTGGTTTGCACGGAAGGGCACGAATCCCCAGGAGCCACTTACACGTCCCCCAGAGGGGCCGACACAACCCAAGAAGCCACAGCACTGGCACCAAAGACACCCCGAAGACAGAAAGAGAAGCCACCAGATAGGACAAGTCTGTTTTTGTTTAGAAGAAAACAAACGTGTGTGTGTGTGTGTGTGTGTGTGTGTGTATTTTTAAGGTGAATCTCAGGATGCACACCTATGTCTGTGGGTGACTGTGGCTGCACAGACCAGGGACCAGCGGGCCACCTGCAAAACCAAACTTCTAGGCAGAAGTCAGTGAGTAACAGCTGTGGGGTGGGGGGGGGGAGGGGTGGAGAGGATGCCCAGTAGGGAAGCGTGTGCAGGTGTGCGTGTGCCTGTGACCGAAAGGGAGAGAGAGAGGAGAGAAAAGAGAGAGAGAGAGAGAGAGAGAGAAAGAGAGAGAGAGTCAGCCAGGCAGATGAAGGAAGGCTAGAAATGGCCTCCAGGCAGAGGGGAAGGCAGGTGCCCCGACCACCTCTCTTGTCCTGTTTGTTCCACAGCAGTTCGAATGCCAAGAGGACACGACACCCTCCTTCGTGGATTGGATACACTCCATGCTGTGCGTGTGTCTCCTTCTAACTGCTAAGACGCCCTGTCCTAGCGCATGAAGGGCCACTCTGGCTAGTGGGTAAAATGCCTTTTACACCCTGGGGGTAGCAGGGTGCGGAGGCTCATTAATTTCTGGGGCTTCACCCACGCGTCCTGAGGTCACCTTCGGGGGTGGCCTCGGAGAGGCTGCAGCTGCCCCGTAGGTGAGCTCAGGGCTGGAAGCGTGAGTGGGACCAGCGCCGCAAGCTGAGGCCCCAGGGACAGCACAGCCTGGGGACCCAACGCCCCTTCCCTCGGGAAAGACAAAAGCCGAGCCTTCTCTCTCTCTTGCTATTATCCAAATGGAAAGAACTAATGAGATTTTTTTTTCTTTCTATTGTTACTGACATCGAACTTCTTTAAACACCCGCTGTCAGCAAAATATCAATCACCGTTGGAGAGTTATTGGCAGCACGGAGTAAATTCATGGTGAAGAGAACCGTTCCCGCCAATGGTCACGTTGGAGGTGCCACGGAAAGTTCTTTAAAATAAGTCACAGGCATTTCGTTAATTGAGGAGAACAGGGAACAAATGGGGAGTGGGTCGCATGGGTGAACCTGTCGGCCGGTGGCAGGGCTGATGGCCATCACCTTCTGGGAGGGCATTTTGGTGCCTGGGGGGCTCAATCGGTTAAGCGTCCTGCTTCGGCTCAGGTCATGATCTGGCGGTTCGTGAGTTTGAGCCCCGCATCGGGCTCTCTGCTCTCAAGCACAGCTGAATCCTGTTTCCTTCTCTCTCTGCCCCTCCCCCGCGCGGGGGGGCGGCCCCCGCCAGTTCAAAATAAATAAATGAAAACTTAAAACAATCAGAAGCCATCCGAATCCCCCTAAAGAAAGCCTGGAGCATGACATCACGCTGTCCAATGGGGCCGCTCAAAAGGTACCTACAACTACCCCGGGTTTCATCACCGACATTTTGAGCTGGGTCGGTCTCTAATGTGGGGGCCGTCCTGGGCGTCACAGCATGCTAGTGGCTTCCCTAGCCTGGACCCGCTGGATGCCAGCAGCACCCTTGCCCCTAAGTCGTGACAGCTAAAAATGTCTCCAGACATGGCCCAGTGCCCCCTCGGGGGGCAGAATCGGCCCCCGCTGACAACTACGGGTCGAGGCCTGATGTTGGACGGACGTTAGCCATGATTCTCGAGCAGAAAGAATGAAAACTTGGAACAGTAGACACACTATGGGCCCCTCTTCACGGCAAAACAGGATAATCGCCACACGGTTAGCACGACTACTTCTGGAAGAGGGGGCCTATGCCTCTTACTTTCTGTCTTTCTATGCTGTCGGCGTTTTTACGGCAAACCTTGGTAACTTTAAGTCTTGAAACCTTTACGGAGACAATTCGGGCACGTGTGTGTGCTCGTGTGTGTGTTTCCGAGTGCGGCCGACAAGGCCACTCGTGCTGGTCCTGGCCACTCGGGAGGCCCCTGTGCTCCTCGAAAACCACAGATGGTTCTCTGATTTACCGGTTTTCAAGAGCCTGGGGTTTCCCGACAGGAGCTGGGACAGCAGCCCCCGGGGCGGGGGGCGGGGGGCGGGGGGCGGGGGGCGGCGCGAGCCCAGGCTCCCTTTCCAAGCCTCGTGGACCCCAAGCGCCACTCTGGAACGGCAGCCACAATGCGAGCCGTATTAAGCCACTTGTCCACGCTCTTCAGTCACTGTGACGAGGGCCTCGTGCTGGAGAGCCTCCGAGGATCCATCCGATGCGGCCTCAGGGCTGCCCCAGGCGGCCCCCTCCTTGCAGGACTGAGGGGGGCCCAGCTATTGTGGGGCTCACTCAGGGCCAGGGCAGGGACACAGCCTGATGGCCAAGGTCAAGCCCAGCCCTGGCTGCCCCAGAGCGATGGACTATGATGTCAAGTCCAGGCCACTGTCATGTGGGACTCCCGGCTCCAAGGAACAGAGTGCCTCCCCCCCCCCCCCCCGGTTTCTCCCTAGTGTCTGGGCCCCCACGGGTGCTCAGGCAGCAAGACAACTAGCAGCCAAGCACCAAGGAGCCAGGCAGGGGCTCCAGGTGTCGACCCAGATGCATCACACACGTCTCCGGGCTCTTTCCTCCACCTTCCGACCTCACCGGCACGTGGGACCTCACCGGCGGAACCGACCTGAGGACTGAATCCCCCAGAAACACGGCTCCTGTGGCGTCAGGCTCAGAGCAGACCCTGCAGGGGACAGGGCCGCAGAGCCCACAGTTGTCGGCAGCTTTCCCAAATCCTCTGTTTGGATCAGACAGGGCGGGGAGGCCTCAGGCTCCGGACTGAATGACACTGCCCCCCACCCCTTCGTCCATGCTGAAGCCTTAACTCCCAGTGTGGCTGTATTTGGAGAGGAGTCTCTAAGGAAGTAAGGAAGGTTGAAGGAAGTCAGAAGGGTGGGGCCTCGAGCTTATAGGATCGGTGTCCGTATAAGGAGAGACACCGGGGGCACGTGGGTGGCTCAATGGGCTCAGGTCATGATCTCACGGTTTGTGGGTTCGAGCCCCGGGTCGGGCTCTGTGCTGACAGCTTGGAGCCTGGAGCCTGCTGCGGATTCTCTGTCTCCCTCTCTCTCTCTCTCTCTGCCCCTCCCCCACTCATGCTCTGTCTCTCCCTGTCTCAGCAATAAATAAACATTAAAAAAAAATGAAAACACAAAAAAAGAAGAGGTGTAGGAAAGCTCACTTTTTCTGCACCCACACATCGAGGAGGCCATGTGATGGCTCGGGGAAGGTGGCCGTGTACCAGCCAGGAAGAGAGAGCTCCCCCCAGAAACTGAATCTGCCGGCACCTTGAACTTGGACTTCCAGCCTCCAGAACTGAAAGGAAATAAATTTCTCTCCCTCAAGCCTCCAGGCTGCGGTGTTTCCCAGCTGACTATGATACCTGGCCCAGGGAGAGCAGCTGCGTGGAAGGATTTCAGCCACCGGTTGTGAAGGGCACGACCCTGGGAGACACAGATGCACCCCACCACTTCCTGTGCACCTGCTATGTGCCCGGCCCGGCCACAGAGCTGAGGCTTTCCAGGGCAGTGAGTCACCTGAAACCCTACCCTGATTTGTCCCTTCCGTGGCAGAACGAGTCAAATCTGTGCTCCCGGAAACCTGGCCGGGTTTGTTCGTGGGACAGGCGAACGACGATCGGAAATCCAAGGCCCTTCGAACCGCGAGCAGACGCCAGCACATCCTCTGTGGTCTCCCTGAACCTTCCCCGCAGCTCTCCGGGGCGGCCCTGGTCCTGCGTCCCCGTTTTAGGGACACGGAATCCGAGGCTGGGAGACACAGAACAACACGGCCAGGTCACACAGGTGTAGGTAGCAGGGCCTGGGACACGGGGGCCTGGTGTCCAAACCATGGTTCTTGCGCCACAGCAGACAGGAAGCTCAGCAAATGAGCCATATCGACAAACCTCCCCCGCACCCCGAAAGCCCCGACGGCTAACTCGCCACGAGCCTCCGCTCATCTCTGAGACGGAACGGCGAGACGGCAGAGACCAGAGTTGGTCACGCAAGTGCCGCCTTGCCGGTCGCCGGAAGGATCCCTTGCGACGAAGCATTCCTTGCGGCCAGACTGTCTTACAGCCTCGTGGGGAGGCTCCAGGAAACAAGGCTGGACACACAGACAGTGGGCCACGCATGGACCCCCAGGCTGGGCAGGGCCCGGGACAGGGGGGAGCACAGGTGGGGAGAGTGGCATCCTGGCTGGAGCAGCCCCACCCACGCCCTCAGCCCGTGGGAAAGCGAATGGCCCCTCTCCGCTTCTGAGGGTCCGGGAGTCTGGGGGTGTCTGTGTATCTGTCTCCCATCTACGATCATCTGGTTGCTTGTGTCTGAGTATTTGTCTGTGTTTCTGGGTGTTTTCTGTGCGTGTGTGTGTGTGTGTGTGTGTGAGAGAGAGAGAGAGAGAGAGAGAAGAGAGAGACTGTCTGGGGTCTAAATCTGCCAAATCTTTCCCTATGACTCTGCACGAGCGCTTCCTCTTTTCAGGTGACAGTCAAAACAAAGTCCCAGCGGGCAGTTACGAGCCTCCCAGACACCAGCCGCCTCTTCCGCTCCCCACCCCGTAGGCAAGGCTATTCCAGCCCTTAGTATCGTTGCCTTTTGAAACAGCATCTTCCAGAAGCAGAAACTCCCAACGGCTGGCAAGACCCAGGTTCTAACCAACTGTTCTCGGAAGGAAGGAGAGGCCCACAGAGGCGCCTTTTCTGCACGGAGACGGGGACGCGGCAGAGCCGTGGGAGGCGAGTGGTCCAGCTCTGGATTCAAATCCCGTATGTGTGGCCTCAAGCAGTCATCTGGCCCACCTGCCTTAGATTTTCCCCATCAGAAATACAGATGGGTCCATAATGTGCAACTTTCCAGGACCGCAGAGACTAAGTGAGCTAGTGAAGGTATACTAAGTTCCCTCAACACTAGCGGGTACCCAGCAAGGGAATAATAAGTGGTGGTTATCATTAGATTAAAAAAAAAAAAAGTGGGCGGGCGCCTGGGTGGCTCAGTCAGTTGGGCGTCTCACTTCGGCTCAGGTCATGATCTCGTGGGGTTGAGTTCAAGCCCTGTGTCGGGCTCTGTGCTGACAGCTCAGAGCCTGGAGCCTGCTTCGGATTCTGTGTTTCCCCCCGGGCCGCCTCTCTCTCAGCTCCTCCCCCACTTGTGCTGTCTCTCTCTCTCTCAAAAACAACAACAACAACAACAACAACAACAACAAAAAACGTTAAAGAAAAAAAAAAGTGGGCAACTCACATGACCAGGCAAGGCATCAGAACTAAGAAGACGTTGGTGTTCATTTATTAAATGATCTGGAGCGGCTGATACTGAGCACGTAAATTGAATTTGTCTGATAACAGCTGGCGTGGAGACAAGGAGATGAGAAACAGCAAGAGAAACCCACATGCAGCCCAAGGTCGGGCTGCAGACACCCAAGGGGGTGGCTGGCTGGGGTCCCGCCCTCGCAAGGCAGAGCTGGGGAAGACGTAGGGGGTCATCCCTCGAGACCA